TCTATTGGAACAGCTGAGTAGCTGCTTTGGGTATGTGGTCTGCTTCCCGTATATAAGAAACAGCTTTGGGAATGGTCTCCAGCTTATGGCACACTTGAGTCCTGAATGTAGCCGTGTTGTTGTTCAGCAGCCTGCCACACTCTGTCAACCTTGGGTCTTTCAATGGACTTGAATTAATGGTCTGCCGTGTGTGGCTTGGTAACATCAGGACTGTGCCTTTTTCCTTATCAGCCTTGGGCTTATCAGTCTCAGCAGCCAGCAGCTACCTGAGTGAAGAAAAGCCTCTAGCTCCAGTGGGCTGGGAGCAGGAGGCAGAGCTGAAGCTCAAGGTTGAGGGACTTTCACCCAGTCCCTAGAGCCTGGCACTTTGAACTCAGACTTAAAGCCTCCAGACTGAGAGAAAAAACTCCTGTTTGTTCAGCCATCCTGTTTGTGATAGATATTCTTGTCAGAGCGGCACTGGGTAACCAGAACAGTAACTCGTTTTTGGCAAGCATTCCATTGCAGAGAATGGCTCCTGGAGTTTGTTCTGGTTGGTCCAGAGTCAGTTCACTCAGGCCTAATGAAGTCATGGGATGTGTGATGAGAAAAGAAGTGTCGAACACCAAGTGTCTAGGAATCTTGAGCAAAAGCAGCTTTGGAGTATTTATAAAAAATACATGCTGCCAGCTGTAACCTTGTTTTTTGGGTTAGGGATTTAATATAGTGAGAATTCAGCAAAGCATTACATTGATCAACCCATTGTCTCATAAAGCTTGGTTTGAAGTCAATTTATTTAGAAACAGACTAGCCAAAAAAACACTTAATGTCTTAAGTATTCTGAAGAAGGTAGTCACCAACTCACTTAGTACAATTTGTGAAAAAACAGGGAAGAAGATAATAAACATTAATGACCATGAAATGAAGAGAACCAGAAAGGAGGCCGTGTTATTGTCAATAAAAAAAGTAAACTAATCTTTATGGAGAAATAAAGCTGACGTAGATTTTAAGTGTGAGGAGAGGAAACCAGGGCTCTGTCAGTGTGCCCTCCTCCGTGCCTTGCCCAGTTAAAGCAGCGAGCCAGCCTCTCTTAACAAAGGAGTTGAACCAACTACAGAGATATTCTAAACTGTACAGAAATTAACCAAGGAAATAGTCAAGTCAAAGACAGTCTATTCAGTGGACATAGATACAGTCCAGGAAGCAACAGTTAAAGATAACAAGTTGCATAATTTTAGAAATACTACATTAGTTTTTGAGCATATAAAAAAAATGTATTGACTTGTAAAAGCAGGTCAGTGCTTTAACAACCAACTAGCAAATAAGTGGTAGTTATGCCACGTGCCAAGTTAACAGAAGGTTGTTATAAAAAGTAAATGAGGAAGCACATAGTTAAGGACGGTAAATATTAGCTGGGTTTTCTTTACCTCTCAGAAACATATTAGCATATCAGTTTGAACCTAAGTTTTACGCTGTCATCATCATAGGTGTTAGTACATGGTTACAGACAAAGCAAAATTCAAAGTACGCTTTATCTCAGTAATGTCACACATCAGTACTGTCCTTAAACTAAGATCTTTTTTGCACTGATTTTTAGTACTGAATTTGTAAGCAGAACACATTCATGTCTTTGCTAACAGTTTATGACTGCTGCTTAATAATACAGCTAACGTTTATTGAGCACATACTAGACACTAGGAGTGTATCAAGGATTTTATGTAACATTTGATCTGCACATTGTAGAACAGTACTACGAGGCAAATAGTATTATCATCTCTGTTTTTCAGATGGGAAAGCCAAGGCCAAGAGAGTAACTTACAGAGATCCCTAGCTGGTAGGTGGTTAGGCCAGGATGAAAACATACACCACGGAGCCCATGCACCTATTGATTGAGGGGGAAGATAGAGGGGGCAGCAGCTCAGGTAACAGAGTAAAATGAGGGAAAGGGAGGAGGAGAGACAGCATTCTTGCCTAAGCCTAAATTTCTGGACCAGAAGCAGTTAGTTCCCAAGGAATGGGGAAGCTGAGTCACAGAACCAGTGAGTAAGGGAAGAATAGGAGTTTGCATTTGTTTGAGGGGTGAGCCTGGAAATTTTGGAAATGGTAAAACCAGACAGTGTGTGAGCACGAAGGGTTGAGGTTGTGAGAAAATAACTCTGGAAGGCTGTTGGTTAAAGAGGCGGCAGTCCCTTAGTGAGTCAGTGTGCAGTGTTTGACCAGACTGTGAACACATCCAATTGGGAGAGAATAGCATCCACATATACCTTAATGGAAAGGATGACCAGACTTTTGGCAATGTTACGACTGCTAACAGAACATGATAACCAGCTCAGCTTATACTCAGAATCCTTTCTGAACAGAGAAAGAGAGGTACTTGGTAGACACAGGAAAATGAAATTCTTCTGTTGGCAGAGCACACATATTATGCATTCTTCTGTGTTTAGCTCAGTGGTTAGAGTACACTTCCTGGAAAGCCTGGAATATACAAAATGTTTTCAATTTGAGCTTGTGCGTATCATCTGGTCCATGGGACAAGGTTCACTACCCTGGAGGTGGCTTGGCTCAGTCTTTAAAGCACATAGTAATGAATGTCAGGTCTGGGACAGAAAGCAGGGCTGCTCCGTGTCAGACCGTCACGTGGATTTGGAGTCGTTTCCCAGGAGTGTCTGATGCAGCTGTGCAGTGTGGTCATCTGGACAGTGGGTTCTCTCTCCAGACACACACACAGTTGACTGCCCTTGGGCCAGCCATTCCGTGCTTCCTTACTTTGAGGACCTGGATTTGGGGGTTCCCTCATTTCTGTGAATGGGACATTGTAGCATGAAGTAGGGCTCAGATTCTCTGAGTCCAAGTGGATTTACTCTAAAAGAACCTTAAAATAACCTGAAAAGATTGGTTTGGGCTGAGCAGGTTTGTCTTGTTTCTCCTCAGCTGCTTGAAGTTAAGAGAAAAATGAAGAGAAAACATCATCTTCCATATCTTTTCATACTGACTCATTTGGCAATCATTTAGAGATTGTAGCTCATCTGCTCCTGCTAGTGCCCCACCCAGAAAGTCAGAAATGAGGCAGCTGCATATGGCAACTTATTTTATGTATGTGGGGAGGAGAAACTAGTGAAGTCACGAAAAGCAAAGAGCAAGTCAGTTGTCATGGAGCCGATTCCAAGTCCTGGTAACCCCACGTGTCTCGGAGTAGAATCGTGCTCCACGGAGTTTTCTAGGGCGATTGTTCAGAAGTAGATCACCAGGCCTTTCTTCCGAACCATCAGTGGGTGATGGTTCACCCTCCAGTCTTTTGGTTAGCAGTCAGGTAGGTTACCCATATGCACTATCAAATCACAACCGCCACCACCCACACAAACCCACTGCTGTGGAGTCAGTTCCAACTCCTAGCAACCCTGTAGGACAGAATAAAACTGCCCCATAGGGTTTCCAAAGCTGTAAATCTTTATGGAAGCAGACAGCCCCATCTGGTGGGTTTGAACCACTGACCTTTGGGTTGGCAGGCAAGTGTTTGAACCACTGCACCAACTCGGCTCTTTGCACCATTGCACACATCTGCTTGCTGAGCTAGTCAGAATCAAGCCTTCCAAAGGGGTGTGTGTATGGTGTGTGTATGGGGGAGGTTTAAAACCTTTGGAAGGCTTGACTCTAACTAGCTCAGAAAACAGATGCAATTATTTAGCTTTGGAAATATCTTGCCTATATGCCCAGAGTGAGTCACAAAGTTGGGCCAGTGGGAAAAATAAATGTTGATTTCACTAATCCCTTCATCCATGGAAGATCAAGTACGGACTTGACTTTCCTTATGCAGTGGGAGATGTTCCCAATTCTGCATGCAGTGCTGCGTTTGCCATGGTTATGCTGTTCATCTCTGAGGCTATGCACGGCTCCTACCTGGACCTCAGTTTCCTCCTTCCTGATTTAAGCAGGCTGGGCCAGATGATCTCCTGAGGGCCTGTCTACCTCTGCCAGTCCGCAGTGCAGTTCAGTTGCTTCTGCAAATATGAGGTTGGGGCAAAAATTGGAGACTGGGTTGTCCAGCTGATCAGCCCTTCCAGGGGATGAATGGGAATGAACCGCAGCACTCAAGCTTTGCAGAAAGTTCTGCACTGGGCTTGCTGAAATGATCAGCAGGAATCTGAGCTCCTAAGTGTCAGGCAGGGCTAGTCAGATGACAGTGCGCCATCACTGTGGGATACTCACTGGGATGAGGGCCTGTTTGAGGCCGAGCGGCAGCATGAGGCGGTCCAGTGTACAGTCCAGCCCAGGTCTTGGCTTCCTCCGTATTCCTGACCATCCCTCCCAACCCATACTCTCTAGCCTTCGAGCCTTGGCCAGGTTTTCTCACGGTTCTGAAACTTCTACTGGGTCTTCCCCACCCCCCACCCCCTTCAGTTTGCTAAAACTCTTTTGCCTCTTTTTGTTGTAGTGAAAACATACACATTAAATCATCTGCCCACACGACACCTTCCACATTTACAACTCAAGGTGGTCATTTTTATAATGATAATATCTACTTTTCAGGATTGGTGAAAATCTTAATGTGCGTGAAACGGTCTAGCACATAGGTGGAGCTTGATCAGTGGGTTACTAAAACCAGAGCAGCAATGTGTAAAAACTGAAAATTTGATGACCTTATTTGAAAACCAAGGGAGGAAGAAACTAACACTTTATAGGATACTTCAGGATATTGCATGTCTTAATCCTGACAGCCTCAATTTACAGATGTGGACATCCAGGAGGTTCCCAAGTTCACCACACCTGGAAACAGGTGGGGCTGAAACTCCAGTCTTCTGAATCCAGACTGTTACAGTGCATTTAATTGATATATTTTATAGTTAAGGTTAAACCTGTGATGATTTTGTAAAAGGAAGTAAATGATCTGAAATAGTAATTGTACCTATTGGGGGGGGTTTCTCTTTGTGCCCTTTTTGTGTGACCACAGCTTACTGACTGCCATTCAGCATGGGCCCAGGGAGCCCTGCAAGTCCCTCCTCACGTTGCCCTCTTGTGGGTTGTTAGCTCCGAAACAACTGTTGGGGATAGCCTGAAGATTTGAGTATCTCTGGAATGTCACTGTCCAGTTTCGAAATAATTTTATAAATGGGTTTCTTCCAGGAAGGATCTGAGTCTTTCCCTGCGGAGACAGCTCTGAAGAACTCCTGCAACGTCAAGCTGGCGATTTCCAAGAAGCAGTCTGGGACCTGCGTTCGTAAAGAGGCCCACAAGAAAGAAGAGACATGAGGCTGTGAAGCTGTGCTGCTGCAGACCTCACTGCAGACCCGACGCTGCCCGTTCCTATGCGGGGGCTGGTGCATCCCTGCTCCACAGGCCCCTGCAATCTCCCACTGCCTCGTCAAGCACCAGCCTGCAGATGACGGACATCCCAATGAGACAGTCCATCCAGACATGCCTGTTGCAGGAGGAACTGATTCCACTCATTTTGGAACGACATCCAAATATGGTGACATTTCTCAGTAAGGGGAAAACTCTGATCTGATTGGAATTAGATGTGTGGCTCACAAGAGGTGTTTGGTCCCTTTCCGTGGTGCCTAATGTGGGAAGCGGTGCCCCAAGCATGCTCCTCCCACCTCTTGGGGCTAAATCTGAGGCACCTGACACCATCTCTGCTTCCAGAGCCCCCTGGGGAGGGAGGTTGTCCAGAATCTGGTCCAGGGCCCTCACTCAGACTAGCGCCACACATGTTCTCCAGATCCTGCCTGGCCTGGAGCTTGCCGCCACTGCACGCCAGATGACCACACCCACGGGGAAAGACGCGGCAGCGCTACCCTGTCCACACGGGCCCCAAGAGCCTCAGAGAGGAGGCACGGCCATTTCGCCACAGGTCGGCGTAGGTTTCCAGGCATCATCTGGCAGAGCGTCTGCCCAGCTGAGGCCAGCAGCTCTTACCTTTCTTGGCGATTTCAGTGAACAGCTCTTTGTGATCACGGACAAATGAAAGAGGCCAGAGGGGAAGGAGTATCCTGTGAGATGCCAGTCTGACAGTGGTCAGGGGCATGTGAGGAAAAAGCGTGTTTCTTGATAAGACGCTCCCACCAGTGAAGCTCGGGCCACATGCTCACCCTTTCCTGAAGCTTTACCTCTAAGGTGCCACCAGTGTGCCTTCACTGAGATCCCCAAGGGACCCAAAAGCCTAAGTATGGTTTATGCATTGTCTCCAGAAAGGACTGGAAGCGACTTGCCATGGAACACCCACAAATAATAAAATTGTTCAAGAGAGAATAAAACAAATGATGCAAAGAACAGGAGACAGCTGTACAGAAAAGCTAGGCCAAGCCTAGGGGCTGCACTGAGCACAGTATTCAGTCCTGCGGCTCCTGGGACTAAGGCAAAAGGGTAAACAAGAGGCAGCCTGGTAATTACAGAGTATTGAGTCTAAAGCAGGACACCTGGCAGACCTCTGCTTCATTTTCAGAGTGAAGACTGGCCGTATATCCAGTTTGCTGCGTCCACCTGTTGCCCAAGAAAGATGCTGAGGCTTTCAGCTTTGTGGGTGTGTGGGTGGTCTATAGGTTGGCCCTTAGCTGCCCCACCTTCTCAGTGACAAGGACAGATAAACAAGGGTATCTCTAAAAACTCCCATCACCAAAGTAAGGCACTCAGCAGATCTCTTGAGACCCAAGTAAATGGTCTTACCTGAAAGTCGTTTCCCTTGTTATAGTGCATGTTGAGAGCTCGGAAAAGTTCCGAATCACGGAGAACCACCAGCATTTTGGGATTTGTGACACCTTCAGAAATTGCTTGCCGAGCAGATTTCTCCATTTGGATGTAATAAAACTCACGGAAGTTGCTGAACCACTTGATCATCTGGGAGGTGATGCAGCGGTTGAACTGTACAAACAATGGGTCCATGGGGTCAGACGATCGCCACGAGGTGCTCAAAGGCGGAACTGTCAGCTTCCAGCTCAACGTAGGGGTTAATTAGAATGGCTCCCACCCAATGTTAGAGCTGCTTTGAGAAAGAAGCCAGGACTATTTCCCAAGACTTCAGTTATATGTAGAAAAATATGAATTAGCTGTAATGCCCATTAGAAAATAAATGTTTTTTGATATGCTAGATTTATGAAGGATTTTTCTCCCGTGAAAAAACTTTGCATGATGTGTGACTTCGGGAGGGCCTAGGGTCAAGGCCAGTGTGGTGGCAGCACCAGAGCCTTCTGTCGGGGCCGAGGAAAGGGGCGAGGGTGTAGGTCAGAAAGCAGGTTATCTGCACCTTAGAGCTGCAGGTGAGTCAGAAGCTGTGTGCTGCAGGGGCCAGACAAGCAACTAAATATGAGGGGAACCCTGAAAAACGAAAAGGGGTGGTAGGCATGCAAAATACTAACAGCCCCTAGCCCAACAGCCAAGGCAGCTAGAGTGCTTGGCTGCTAACAGAAAGCCAGCAGTTCGAACCCACCAGCCCTCTGTGAGAAACAGATGCAGCAGTCTGCTTTTGTGAAGATTTATAAAGAAGGAAACAGCTCTACAGCCTTGGAAACTCTGGGGCAGTTCTGCTCTGTCCTAGAGGGTCACTAGGAGTTGGGGTCAACTCAACAGCAGTGGGCTTTTCCTTTTGGAACCCAACTTCCTGGGTAAAGGAGGGCCTCGGAAACATCATATGGGAGCAGGCGAGGTGTGGTTCCAACTAATGGCTGGTTCTCCTTATCGCCACGCCTGGTCCCTTCACTCAGCTTTGAAGCACAGGAATTGGGATGGAAATTTAAGTGTCAGCCTTTTTATTTAGTCTTTTCCATAATGTCCCCAGCAATGACAGAAGACTAGGCCAAAGATGCCATTCACTAGTGTTTCTCCTCGTTCCCCACCTTCCCTTCCCATGTGTTCCTGGGCTCAAAAGCTTAAACATTTAGATGCCCAGCCTGCCCAGCCCCCAGTTACGCGCAGCTATTCATCAGCATCTCCGCCCAGACCTGGAGATTGCACCTGTTTTCCCCAACACGAAGGGGCACGAAGTACACACGTGACTTGCCTCAGACAGAGCAAAACCCACTGCGACGGGGCTCCGCAGAGGCTGGAACTCGGCCGATGGGCTTTACCTGAACATCAGGGAAATAGGCCTTCAGGAGGTTGGAGCTGGGGTAGCGTGTGAAGAAAAACATTAGTTTGGCCTTCTTCAGGTGACCAGGATTCAGACCCTCCTGGATTTGTCCCAACGTCAAGGAATATTAACACTGTCAAATGCCACTTTATCAAATCATTTTCTCAAATTATCCAAATAATTGTTCCATTCCTTTTTTGTTTTGTTTTTCCTTTTCTGGCTGAATCGTGTCTTTGCTCCATGTTTTGGTCTCTAGCAAGCCTAGTCAGATAACCTTTTTCTTTCTGTTTGCTGGGTACATATGTGCACAGTAAAGATACAGAATTTAAAAAGCATGTGGATGCATAAAAGTCATAGGGCATATATGGTTCCAGTACAGTGTGGTGTACTTGGTATGTGTGTGTGGTTTCAGCACAGGATGGAAAGAGGTGGCACCCGTACCCCATATAAACCATTTCAAAACCCCAAGTAGAGATTTACTTTCCCTCTGTGCCTCAGTTTCCTTATCCGTAACATGAGACGGGATGACTACATGGTTGCCATTGGGCCTCGTTCTTATCATTGCCCTCACGTTGTTCGTGCCAGCAGGCATCTGACCAGACTCTGTGGCTCCGGGGTCACAATTTGTGTTTGTTCAAAAAGCAAGCCTTTTGACCTTTCTGGACCTCTCACTGCAGCTACTCTCTGGTTGCCTGGCAGAACTTTTCCTCCTCCTTCATGTCTCAGCTCAGCTGCTCCCTTTGTGACACCTTCCCTTGCTGAATTAGGCCTTCCTCACCCTGGGCTGAAGCCCTCATGGCACAGTGGGTAAGCACCTGACTGCTAACTGAAAGGTTGGCAGTTCAAACCCACCAGCAGATCTATGGAAGAAAGCTGTGGCGCTCTGTTTCCATACAGATGACAGCCTTGGAAACCCTATTACAGCTTTGCCAGTTCTACTCTGTCTTATAGGGTCACTATGTGTTAGAATCTACTCGCTGGCAATGGGTTGGGTTTGGTTTTGGTTTACCCTGGGCTACCAAAGCTCTTTGTACAAAGCCCTGTTGCAGCAATGACCTTACTGGAATTTTTACTGCATGTTTATCCTCCCCACTTAGACTGTAAGCTCCTTGAGGGCAAGGACCTTGTCTTTTCATCTTTGTATGCCCTGTGCCTAGCCCAGTGCTAGGAGCATAGTAGGTGCTCAATAAATGTTTGTTGGATGAAGGAATGAGCAAGTGATTAGTCAACCTTAATCCACACATGATACAGAAATGATATTCCAAACCCTACGCCACCCTGGGAACAGAGTTCTTCTCCTCAGCAACAGCAGGGAGCAGTGGTGTGATGCCGGGGAAGAGGGTGGAAGGGAAATAAAGATTTTTACACAAGAATGTAGCAGTCGGGGACTGTCCTCAGGGAAGGTGAAAAACTTTACAGGAGAGCTGTCACTTTAGGACAATCAAGACTTCTCAGTAGCTTAAAGCCATTTACCCAAAGGACATCAAACCCACTGTCTATGGTTCTAGTTGACCCAAGTACTCAAGCTGCCACCCAGAAGACCTCACCCCTACCCTCTGCCCCATGGCTCTACTTCTTACCTCCTTTACGGGCTCATAAGTGCTGTGGACACAATCCTGGATTTGGGAGTCAGAAGACCCAGTTTCAGATTTTGCCACCCGTTAGCTGTGTGACCTTGGACAAGCCACTTAGCTTCTCTGAGCCTCGTTTCCTCATTTCTGAAATGTGTACTGTCGTGGTTAAAGGCTTGTGCTCAGCAGTCAGGCCCTGGGTTGAGTCCTGGCTCCACACATGTTGTCGTGTGACTTTGAGCCAGCATGCTTTCCTGTTCCTGCCTCCCAGACACCTGATCCCACAGTGTGTGCTTGGAGACTGTGAGATGGCATGGGCCTGTTAACAGCACCTTAGCTAAAACTCTGGTTTCAGCTTTCAGACTTTCTGTTATTTTAAGAAGGACAAATGGCGTATGTACCACATATTAGTTAAACTCCACAGCAGAGTCTGGTAGCATCCTGTCATCCACTGGATTGGTGTTTCCACAGCAGAATGTATGACCCAGTGGGATAAAGAAAGCCTATTAATAGCCTCCAGGGAGGACAGGTCAAGTTTTACACCAAAAAAAGTTCAATCTTAGAGGAAAAAAATCACAGGGATTTCCCAAGCTCTTTAGCTTTGCAGAAAGGAGCTCTGGTGGCATAGTGCCTAAGGCATTTGACTGCTAACCAGAAGGTTGGCAGTTCAAACCCACAAGCCACTCCACTGAAGGAAGACTGGGCAATCTACTTCCATAAAGATTTACTGCTTCGGAAACCCAAAAAGGGGTCACTATGAGTCTGAATCGACTCAATGGCAGTGAGTTTGGTTTGGTTTTGAATTTAGTTTTCAGAATTGTGTCCGAGTGGTGGTGGCCACATGCCTCTGAACCTCTCGGAGCTGCCCTCCGTGCATGCTCTCCTCATTGTTGACACCTCACACCTGCCCTGCCTATTTCACAAGGATGTCACGTGAGTGTGTAAGTTCTTTACACTTGAAAGCTGCTTGCCTGGGTGGCTTTCATGACCCACAGGAATGAACCTCTAATGCTGGGGTAGAGGTAGCAGAATGAGGGAGTCATTGGGGCCCAAAATCATTCCATGGGTAGCCTGGTATCTCACCCATGCAGCCAGCCCTGGTGGGGGTCTTACTAAGGAATGGGCCCCCAAAACCTCCTGAAGCTCTTTGAGCCCCGTCCTCATGTCACAGGGCAAAACCAGGCAGCTAATATGTGCCCAGCAAACACTAGTATAACTGCCCCAGACGTATACAAAGAATCTTTGGTGACTGAGTCTTCTTGAGGTTCTTCTGCCATTGTCTGACAAGAAAATCGATCTATTCAGGCATCTCCATACCTGCAAGAAGATTCTCTACTGCCTGGAGAGGCGGTGTGAGATGTTCTCAGAGCTGATTTTTAAGTTACTCTTTTCCAGGAAGCACGCAGCTACGCTGTGAGCTTTGGGGTGTTCATAGTATCTGTGGCCACCAGGGGGCGTTCAGAGTCTTTGGGACACCAGAGCCTGCCGGCTGGTAGTCCGCTGGTCCCACCCACTTACCCACCCTCTCCTGCAGCCCTCACTACAGCTTGCCCAGTGGAGGACCTGACTGTTCACACGGGGATATGCAGCTCCACAGAAACACAGATCCCTGGAGACCGGGTTCCGGGCTGCCCATGCGAAGCTGCAACCCGAGCACAGCTCACAAGAAAAAAAACCAGCATCCAAAATGTGTTTTAAGGAATTTTAGTCCTGCCAGCTGTTTGCTGGAAAAGGCTTCTTTGGTGGTATGGTGGGTAAGACATTTGGCTACTAACCAGAAAGTCAGTGGTTCAAACCCACCAGCTGCTCTACGGGAGGAGATGTGGCAATCTACTTCCGTAAAGATTTACCACCTTGGAGACTCAATGGGGGTCACTGTGAGTCGGAATCAACTTGATGGCAGTGAGAGCCCTGCAGACCAGCCTGGCCCCTAGGGCTTCCTGGAAGCTGTTCCTTCAGCTGAAGGCTTTCACTCCTTCCAACTGCCCCTCCAGTTTCAGGCCCTGAGGAAACTTTCCCCTTTGCTTTACTGGGAGTTTCTAGTCCATCACATGTTCCCGTGAAGTATCCAGACAGTGCAGATTCTTGCCTGTAAAGCTGTGGGGCTGGGGGGGCCATGCCTCAGATGAGGTTATTCCTTTGACCCTCTCAGCTCAGGGGTATGGGCAGCTGACAACCAAAGGATGGGGCTCGCCCTCCCATAGGGTATTTATCATATTTTGGAAACTCACGTGAGATTAAAAACAAACCAACCTTTAGACCCAAAGGGTAAGTCAGTAAAGGTGGAATGTGCTGTGCCACAGAAGAAGGTAAGCCACCTTCCCAGGCCCTTAAATCCCAGAACGTGGTCACCACTTTCCCCCCTAATGATCTGCGAGCCACACAGAAGGAAGCCCCAGAAGCAATATTAAGAAGACCATTTGGAAAGCAAAGCTATTTCCTAAACAGACAGTTATTTGTCCCCTCCTCTCGATTTCCTGTTTCTCTGAGCAGTGACAATGAGAACTTCAGATACTCATAAAGGATATGTGGACCGATGAGAAGGGCAGTCCACCGGGGACAGCCTGCAGGCCACTCTGCTCCACCTTCACTGAGGGAGGCAGATGCTCCAGACGGGCCGAGGTGAAGGGCAGGGGGCGTCGCTGCTGGCTCAGAGCTGATGGTCGCAGTCTGACAGCCCGCCAGGGTCGCAGGGCGGACTCTGACAAGGAGTGACTTTGGGAGGGGGAGTCCTGGGGCGGATTGTTGCTCCAGTAGCCGTTGGATGCATGGCCCAAGAGCTGGCTCAGAATCTGGTTTTCCTGGATGTGGGAGGGCACAGTCAAGGGACAGTTTGCTGGGGGGGCCTGGTAAGGTTTGGGGATCATTCTTGGAGAGTCAGGGTACCTGGGAGAATCTAGGGGTTTGGCCAGTGATAATTTCCCCAATGGAACTCCAGCCTGTGACTGGGCCCTCCTCAGCAAGGTGGCCAGAGGAGGTGGATCTTTGCAGGCACCTCCCCCAGTGGAGGAGGGCTCGCTCCCACCCTCTGGCACTAGCCCACGGAAGCTTCTACTGGGCTGGGCCAGGTGGTCTGGTGGATCCAATAGAACCCTCTGTAGCACTGAGTCCACGGCCTGGGACACTGCCGTGGTCAGTTCTTCCCGCAGAATCTCCAGCAAAGTCTCTGCTCCCAGAGGAAGGAACCTGGGTTTCTCAGACTGGTGCTCAATCTCAGACATGCTGTGTTTTTCCACCCCAGAGAGGTCCCTGCTGGAGCCCTGGTGGTGGTCACTGTCCAGAACCCAGGGGCTAGGCCCACGACCATTCCTCTGCCTTACTCTCAGAGGGCCCTTCCCCTTCTCAGAGCCTCCTGGGCACTGAGCTGGGTCCTTGGGCTCGGCAACCTGCAGAACATGCTCTTGGAGGTGTCTTAGCTGCTGCTGCAGGAGGTGAAACTGTTCCCTCACACAGAGGGCCCCCAACCCTTTTCTGTTGCCTTGGTCCCTGGCAGGGCCTGGCTTTGGGAGGTCTTGCTGAACAGGAAGGCTCTGCTTCCTCTTCCGCTCCCGGGCCTTCTCCTGGTAGCGTGGGCTGTCCCAGGTTCGGGCACTGCCTGGCACCAGAGTGCTGGGGGATGGGCACATGCCTTGGACAACAGTCTCTACTCTGGCCCTCTTTGCCTGGATGTGCTCATCCCAAAACCAGTCAAGGTCAGCGAGGCTGGAGCTGGGGGCCTGGCTCCAGGAAAACGGGGGGTCTCTGGTCACTTCCTGAGAGATTTGGCTCTTCCCACCTTCCATGTGGGGTTCTGCCAGACAGGAGAAGGCCTGGGATGGAGAAGAAAGCAAGATGGAGTTTGGATCCATCCCTTGGCTCCACAGGCACTTGCTCAGGGCTCCTGAGGGAGCCGGGGACTTCAAGAATCCCTCCTCCTAATCTCCTCAGCTGAGCTGGGGGGGGCCCTCCACTGCACAGGAAGGGTGAGGAGCAGCGGTCACAGAGGAAGGATTCAGACTCGGAGATGTCCTCCTGGATAGTCTCCTGAAGTGAGAGACAGGAAGAAAAAAGAACAGGTGACTTTGAGCAGTGTTCCAACTTGAAGGTGCTTCTGAATCACCTGGGGGTTTGAATGAAGTGCACATTCCAACTCAGCAGGTCCCAGGTGACATTGCCGCTGCTGCTGCTGCTGCCGCCGGTCAGAACCGCACTTTGAGGAGGTTCCCAAGAGTGGGCTTCTAGGGCCTGAGCCCAACAGTAATTAATGATAAAAATAATAAATGCTTAGGAGCTCTGGTAGCATAGTGC